CATTGTCATATCCATCACCATGCTAAAATCTTCAGAGAGTTGTCAGGATTGAAATACATTTAAGTCTTTAAAGGTTAGGATTGTAATACAATTAAAACGTGGTAACAATTGTTTATGATAACATTCAACAAAGTATAATATATTTTTATGAATGCATTGGAATCTCTATATATTGCAGTATAGGCTTCAAAGAATATGTCAATACTTATGAAAACATGAAGTCCTGCATAACAACAGAGTAAGAGAGCATAATAACAATGGAAAGTGCATATCATGTTTTTTGTTAAACACTTATTTCAACTGGGTTAATGTTACCTGTACGACATTCAGCCTCAGCTAGTTTGGAGGTCTGTGATCCGCTGACAGTGGTAACCAGCAATTTGTATAAAGCACCGGGTCTGAGGAAGGGAAGCAGGGTGGAGGTTGTGTTTGCTGAAACAGAAATGTTGTCCACCGTGTATCCAACTCGTAACAGCACTAAGTTGTAGAAATCCAGATCTCCAGATGGTTTCTCCCAGCTTGCACTCAGACTATCTGATTTCCCCTTGTTACTTAGCTTCAGATGATTCACCTTTAAAGGTACTGAGAACAAATAATTTTTTTATTGCAATCAGATTCTTTAAATATGTAATTTCCTATAATAATTAAACACATTTCTATTTGTTAAAATTAGTTAATGCATTGATTTTTTAAATTTTTTATTTCAAGTTCAATTTACAAATGTTACTGCTCATTGTTTAATTGACGTTAGTTCATAATGTATTAACAAGCTGAACTACAATGTAAAAATTTTAAAAGAAACACTCGAATGTAGAAATTAACATGAACTAACATCACAGAATTCTGCAAAGTATAGTTAATTGTTGTTTTCCTATTAGTTCACTAATAGTTCACATGCGTTTATGTTTACATGCATACATCAGTTACTGAAAACCTCTTTATCTTTTTAGTATGTTTCATTCAATACCCACTCAACAGATGTTAGTGTGAATGAAAATGAGGTAGCGCAGGCTAGAAATATATTTTTTTGTAACATTTTACAATATGGTTCCATTTGTTAGCATCATTAACTACATGAACTAACAATAAATTCTTAGTTAACGTTAATCTAAGCAATTATTAATACATTATTAAAATCAAAAGCTGTATGTAAATATTATTGAATGAACCTAAGCAAACATAAACAAAACAAACAAAAAAAAAACTAGAATATTCATCAGTTTTGAAATTAGACATGACCTAGACTTTTAGACAGTAAACTGTTTTTACTTCTAGTGTTAAACGAGGAACACTGAATACTTTTTCTTAGAAAATGGCAAGATAACCTTACATGTTCTTCCCATTACTGTAGCAGAACTACGCAGGTTCTTCGTGGTAGTGGTTACAGTAATGTCATACAGGCGACCAGGCGTGAGGACATTAAAGGTGCACTCTCTCATACCACGGCTCAAGGTTCGTGTCTGAATAGCTGTAGATGTGTTGCTTTGGAAAAGCTGTACGATGTAGCCATCGCGGGATGATGAGCCAGAGGCGTGAACCCACAGAGCGCTTAGGGAGGTCTCGTCTGAATGACGAATGTGCAGTTGAGATACTGGCAGAAGACCTGAAAAAAGCAGACCAAAAGAAAGATACTACAAAACCCCAACTACAGTTTGAAATAATGCTATGTTAGGAATAACATACAACAGTATTATTTTTCAAAAAATGAGGTGGCAGGGCAATTTAGTGAGGATTTATTGTAACAGCAGGAATGTGAAGCTTATGTTATAAACAACTTAATTTTAGGGTTAACTTATGTTGTCATGAAGTCAAAATTGTAAAATTGAATATAACTTTAACCAGAAAAGTTTAGTAAGTGATGTTTTCACAATAAAATCATGTTAACATGCATATTGTTTGCCTTGTGGCTATACCTTTTTTATTGTTATTTAGTTATTTTTTTAAGAAAAGGAGGGACAATTGGAAATTGTTTTTTATAGAGTCAACATTATGCCACAAATTCTGCTGACTGAACTAGTACTGAATTTAGAATATTAAATAACTAATAATAAAAATTATAATAACTAATACATTTACATGTTGAAGAAAAAAAAACAAAAGCATAGCATACTACTTGTATTGTTGTTAAAAATAGCAGACAGTGTAGTCTACTCAGTACAGAGTGTGCTAGTGTTGCATTCCTTTATTTTTAAGAGAGTACTAAAGTAATACATGTCTATATTATGGAATATACAGTAAATGTATGTAGCATTAGTCAAAAATATTCTGTCATTAACTGCAACAAGTGCTTTTCATCATTTTGACAGTAAACAAAGTGTATTTCCATGTTTTAGAAACATTCTTGTAAAAACTGCTAATAGGGAGTTTATCTAAAAAAATATGGGAAAATAATGTTTAAAAGTGCTTGTGTGAAAACAAGTGAGTATTTGGGTAGAAAATGAAAGATTATTGGTGCATTCCAGTGCACTTTTCATGATATATGTGACCCTGGACCACAAAACCAGTCTTAAGAGTCAATTTTTCAAAATTGAGATTTATACATCATCTGAAAGCTGAATAAATAAGATCTATGGTTTGTTATGATAGGACAGAATTTGGTCGAGATACAACTATTTGAAAATCTGGAATCTCAGGGTGCAAAAAAATCCAATGTCCAAATGAAGTCCTTAGCAATGCATATTACTAATCAAAAATTAAGTTTTGATATATTTACGGTAAGAAATTTACAAAATATCTTCATGGAACATGAGCTTTACTTAATATCCTAATGATTTTTGGCATAAAAGAAAAATCTATAATTTTGACCCATACAGTGTATTTTTTGGCTATTGCTACAAATATACCCCAGTGACTCAAGACTGGTTTTGTGGTCCAGGGTCACCTCAATAAATTAGAATGTCGTGGAAAAGTTCATTTATTTCAGTAATTCAACTCAAATTGTGAAACTCGTGTATTAAATAAATTCAATGCACACAGACTGAAGTAGTTTAAGTCTTTGGTTCTTTTAATTGTGATGATTTTGGCTCACATTTAACAAAAACCCACCAATTCACTATCTCAACAAATTAGAATACTTCATAAGACCAATAAAAAAAACATTTTTAGTGAATTGTTGGCCTTCTGGAAAGTATGTTAATTTACTGTACATGTACTCAATACTTGGTAGGGGCTCCTTTTGCATGAATTACTGCATCA